ACTTTTCTGTCATCTTTTGTTTCACCTTTGTAAGGAGGGAATTTAATGTTGTAACAAACTATTTAATTACTTTCTCGCCATAATCGAAATGCATCACATGACTGTTCATTTACTGCGCAAGCCAAGCCCGGCCCGACCCTGTCTAAAATGATAGAAATTGAACCTAAACCCGTTGGGTCCCGTCGGGATTGGCCAAAGATCTTCAGCTCTACTCAGAATAGCAAAGGCTACTAAAGGAGGTCGAGCCTTCTCATTTATGGCTCCTAAACTCTGATATAGCCTTCCTAATAATGTCTGAGGCTCAATTACATTCTCTCAGTTCAAAAATAAATTAAAGACCTATCTTGTTTTAGTAAAGCATACACACAATGCATCACATAACTATATGATGCACAAGTGTGATCCATGCAGGTAAGTGGACTTGACAACCACCTGTTCACCCTCCTCCTGTTTTAATGTACCAGACATTTTGTTAAAAATACTTACAGGCTTTAAATGTTTGCTTATATAACTCCTATTTTCATTTATGGTGATTTTTCTTCGCATTGACATTTAATAAATCTCATTCAAATACATTATGAACAGCAACTACCCTAATTATTGTCTTTGTTCTCTATTTCCCCCTGGAGATGCCCATCCCAAGGCCTCTAGAGACTGTGCAGTGGCATTAATAGGATCTTAGAGGTATGACGAGATGATGCCAATATCGAGAACTTCAAGGACAACACACTTAATACACTTCATTAAACATGTACACCTATATGGTATGAAATTGCAGGTTAATGATGTCTGTACATAATAACAACTTTGATTTGATAGTAAGTTTAACTTCATTTAATCATAATGTCATAATGTGCACCTTTTGTAATGCTGTTTTGGAACAATAATAATTGTAAAAAGCGGTAAACAAATAAACTTGATCTGAATTTAAATATAGAAAATTAATTTTTTAAGCCAGCTCTTCATAGAGGAATCCCATGTATGATAGGGGAAAGTAAGACCAATGAAAAAAATGCATGAGATGCAGACATGTCTTTGTTACTGAAATCTTAACAGGCCAAAAAAATGCTGCACTATTTCCTCTCTGGAGTTTCACTTGCTCAGGTATGACTAGAATGTTGCCAGTGCCTCAAGCGTTTTCAGAAGAAGAAGAAAATATAAAGCAATAAATGACTGCTAATGTTTTGCAATTGAAAGTTGTCTTGAAAATGGAGCCAACAAATGCAGAAAGTCCTGCAAATCAAGAACCGAAAACTCACTCCCTTCAACTGTGAAATCTAATCTGATTTGCGGGTGTATGTGTCATCATTTTATGCCTAACACCACAAAGAGATTTATACAAGTGGTTGTAGATTAAGGCCTAAGTGAAAGCTATAGTTATGAAATATGAACTAAAGGTTATAATATTAGGCCTTATATCCTATACAGGCATCAAGTAGCAAATAAACATAATAATTACGTCCTTCAAGTTCTGGATGTCGTTCGATGCTCTGACCTTCTTGAGAATTTTGGTATACCACAAACAAACTAGGCCAGCACATGCAAGCTCTCGAGCTAGATTGTATTTGAGCGGCATTTAAAAAAAAGCCATGACATAACATATATTTAAACAATTCTTTGCAGGTTTACATTTCCTTTTAAATACGTTGTCCCGGGGTAATGATAAAAACAGTTCACTTCTCATGGTCTGGCAAGGCGAGCTGTCAAAAAGCTTCATAAAGCCCAGAATTTTTGTATAGCATAATAAAACTACAAGCCCCCACAACCCAAAATCTAAGCTTAAAATAAAAACTCTCGGTCAACATACTACTGTACATTTCTCTTCTAATCTATCTTAAAAAATTCTGATTAATTATGATGAATATATTTCTAAACCAGAGCCAAATGTCTTTTGCAAACCCTATTATTAGCCTTTCTATATGAGGAAAACACACTCACGGCATCCCTACGGACCATATATAGATGTTTACGCAGGTCATTTGTAATTATTGAGTCAGTAGCCATGCGACATGGTTAAATATCCAAACTGAGCTCCTGACAAAGAACAGTTCCAGAGACTTTAGCCTGACCTTTTCACAAGCAACTGCACCGTCATGCTTAAGAAAATGTTTTACAGAAGCACTGGTATGTTTGCAGCGTTTCCTCATTTTTAAACATAATATGTCAAAATACTGATGCAGACCATGTATTAATGATTAAAGATTGGTATTATTAACATAGAAAGTACATTCACGCTGTCCAATAAACCATGGAAGCTGACCTTTGCAGGAAAAACTATAATGAGTTTTAAAAATGTTTTATAAACATGTTTAGAATTAAAGGTCCAAAAAGCTGTCACTGGGACTGTACCTTTTCAAATGGTTCACTTCTGGATTTTTTATTAGCTATAATACCCTTGAGATACCAATGAAGTACTAATATGAACTGTTTAGATTTTGGAAATAGGCTCATTTTACAAGTCAGCTAGAGTTAAACAGATACTCCAGACCCGGTGGGAACACTTTTAGCTTAGCTTAGCATATATAACTGAATCGGATTAGACTATAAGCATCTCTTTCAAAATATATATATTTTTTTTTTATAATTTTCCTATTTAATCCCATTTAAGCAATGATACTACACAGTGTCAGTTAAGAGCCTACTTCTAAAAATTGAAGAAATAAGGGATCACTATGATGACTCTTGTACTTAGTCCTGTCACGATAAGGAATTTTTGTTGTGCTATGTATTGTCACAGAACTTGTTGCAATAAGCGATATTATTGTTATTTTGGGATCATTTTATGCAACTGATTATGTAATGATTAAATAACAGGCATTATAATGCAAATACTTATCATTCTTAAGGTTGTTTAGATTTTATAACTTGATGTTAAAAAGGTAAATGTTCTATTATATATACTATTAAAAGTCCTATAAGGTGAATGTCCAATTGTAAACTTTGACACTTGTGAGTTAATGTAAATGTCATTGTAAAATGATGTTAGCTTTATTTGTGCATTTGTAAATACATATTGCAACGGCAAAAATTATTGAGGTTATCTCTAACTATTGCACAATAAGATGATTGATTGTCGATATTAATTATTGTCACAGGCATATTTGTACCTATATTTCTGACAGATATGATAATAATAAACATGGCCAAGTTTCTCATCAAGAGATTTTTTTTTTGAAGAAATAATTATATTATGCTGTTTTCCCCGTGTTAGCGTGGGTCTCCTTAGGGTGCTCCAGTTTCCCCCACAATCCAAAGACACTCCCTATAGGTGAATTGAACAAGCTAAATTGGTTCTAGAGTACAGTATGTGTGTGAGAATGTGAGAGTGGTTGGGTGTTTCCCAATACTAGTTTGCAGCTAGAAGAGCATCCGCTGTATAAAACATATGCTGGATAAATTGGCAGTTAATTCCACTGTGGCGGACCCTGATTAATAAAGGGACTAACCCAAAAAGATGACTGACTGAATGAATGAATGAATGAATGAATGAATGAATGAATGAATGAATGAATGAACGAATGAAACTAGCCCTAGTGTATGTGTGTGAATGTGAGAGTGTATGGATGTTTCCCAGTTCTAGGTTGCAGCTAGAAGGGGATGCGCTACGTAAAACATATGCTGGATAAGTTGGCGGTTCATTCCACTGTGGCGACTGCTGATAAATAAAGGGACAAAATCGAAATAAAATGAACGAATGAATTATACCATGCACACATTACACACAGTTTTGAGTAACTTTTAAATGTTGACTTCTCACTTGTCAATATGCTTTTATGAAGGTAAATAAATTTACATTGTCAGTTAATAAATAACCTGCTCTAAAGGAAAAATGTGATATTTTGTTAATACTCATGAAAATTGCAAAGGCTATTTTTAAAAGCAACAAATTTAGAAAAGTAATTGCTATGAATTATTTCTTTTACTAAAGCTTGTGTAATTTTACTGTCATCTCAGCAGGCTATTAATCAGATGATGTCATTACACAGCTGTGTTGTTGCCAGGCAGTCGCTACACAGTTGATCACAGTTACAAGGATCTATCGATCCTTTTTAATGCATAATAGGGGCTCTTTAAACTGCATATGATGTCCTGTAAGTGCATTCCAGGTTAGGCACAAATACTGGACAACCAAAACAACAATGGTGGATAACACATTCATATGTGTGTGTGTGCTGTGCTGTTACGCAGTGTTTCTTTCTTTCTTTCTTTTTTTTAATTGCAAAGTTACATCTACAAATACTGGCATGGCATCCCTTATGCAATTTATAAAAAAATTAATTAATTAATAAATTACAACATATGTGTTTAAGTACACCACTAGTGTATATCAATAAATCCTGAGATCAATTCTGAATCAGAACTGAGAACCACTCATTCATTCATTCATTCATTCATTCATTTATATTCAACAGCGGAATGAACCGCCAACTATTCTAGCATGCGTTTTTCAGAGCAGATGCCCTTCCAGCTGCAACCCAGGATAATTTAGCTTACCCAATTTACCTATTAGCGCATGTGTTTGAACTGTGGGGAAAACTAGAGCACTCGAAGGAAAATCCACGTCAACAAGAGGAGAACATGCAAACTCCACAAGATAATGCCAACAGGCCCAGCCGGGGCTCAAACCAGCGACCTTCTTGCTATGAGGCGACAGTGCTAACCACTGAACCATGGTGCCGCCAATTGAGAACTATAAACTTTCTATTTTGAGTAGAATAGTCAGAATCGTAAGACTTGCAACTAGACTATGATTAAAATAATAATAATAATAAATCATTTACTTTTAACATTTTAACATAACAAGGAAGCTCTCTTAGGAATGATGCATGTCAAATTTCCCCTAATTTATTATTTTTTTTAAGTCACATAATATCACACCATGTTGTGCAGTGTAAAATGAGGAAAAGGATGTTATAGTAAACTGATGTTGTTTCTGAATCTGAGCCAAAGATCACAAACATGAAAAAAGCAGACTCATCTTTTGAAGTTTATTAGCTCACCTCATTAGGACTCTGCTGTGGTGAGGCAAGATCGACCTGTAAAGAAACAACAGAAAAAACAAACAGTTTAGTTACACAACTACATCCAGCTGGAACGCTATTCACTAACAGGCACCACTGCACACTGCATGCTTTTAATGAACTAACGGGAAAGCAGCATTATTAGCATTAAGTCATTTATAGGCATATAGTTCACCTGAAAACTAAATCTGCCATCCTTCACTTGCTCAAAACGTATTTGAATTTATATCTTCTCTTAACCCTTTCACTGCCGCTCTACCAAACGGTTGACTATGCTTTTACTGTTTTTAATATTGACTGTTGAAGTAAATTAAGGAATGACTATTTAAAGTAATGGTTTACACACGCAGCACAGTTGGTTTACAAAAAATAATAATAATAATCAATTAAATGTAATCCTGTTGCACTTCCACACTTGATTTTGATTTTTGTTTTTTTGTAAACAAAACAAAAAGGAGAAAACATGTTGAATGAGAATCTGAATTTTTTTTTTTTTTTTTAATAAATTGGTCTTATGCTTCATATTTTCAGATTTTATTAGTATATGTATTAATTCCGGCACCTGTACCATATAATAGACATATCAACCATTTGGTAGAGGTTGATATTTTAGAAATTATGGGATGTGTTGGAAAAAATGCATTGAGTGTGTTAACTAGCTACATTACGAGTTAAGAAATGCAATGCAAAAATGTTTTTCTTGGTGGGGTAGTTAAAGGGTTAAACGCAAAATAAGATATTTTAGAAATGGTACCCACTGACTTCCATAGTATTTTTCCTACATGTTTCCAACATGTTTCAGAATATCTTCTTTTGTGTTTAACAGAAGAAAAAAAATTCATAACAGTTTTAAACCACATGAGGGAGAGTAAACACAATGAGGACATTTTCATTATAATTATTAACTATCCTTCTAACTATGATTTACAAGCTCAAAGAAAGGGCGAATTAAGGTAGAGCATTGTTTTCAGTAAAACTAAATAAAATCATCACCCAGGGTTTAAATGAGCTATGGATTATTCATTTTCCTTCGACTTAGTCCCTTATTTATGAAGGAATGCCACAGCGGAATGAAATTATCCAGAATATGTTTTACACGGTGGATTTCTGTAATTTCTGTAAAAAGGGCATCATTTTCACAATATTGACATCTAAAAGCAAAACGCTTTCAAAAATGTAAAAAGATTAAGACCAAATTGTGTTTAAGTACATCACTAGTTTACTGTATATAAATGATTTCTGGGTTCATTTCTCACAATTTTGAATCGGAATTGAGAAACATTCAATCATTCATTTTTTTTTTTTTTTGACTTATTCTCTATTTCAGAGGTTGCCACAGTGGAATGAACCACCAACTATTCCAGCATATGTTTTTTTGCAGCGGATGCCCATCCAGCACTGGAAAACACTTTACCTTTCCTTACACACAGTACTGGAAAATACCCATACACTCTTGCATTCACACACACTCATAGGCTGCATCCGAAACCGAATACTTCCGTACTATATAGTACGCTAAAATCAGTATGCGAGCCGAGTAGTATCCAAACTCATAGAATTTGAAAATCAGTATGCGAGAAGTACCCAGATAACCTACTACTTTCGGCGAGATTCTGAAGTGCGCATTCCATGCACGCTGCGCTATGATGCTCTGCAAGAGAGTTCATGAATGGGTGTGAAGCGACGCAACTGACGCAGGAAGGTCATGTTACCATGACAAAATGGGAGATGTAGTACTTTTCTAACGGCCGAGTAGTACGTTCAAATTCAAATGCAGTACCTACAGAGTAATAGGCAGTTTCGGACGCAGCCATACACTATGCCCAATTAAGTTAATCCAATTCCCCTATAGTCCATGTCTTTGGACTGTGGGGTAAATCAAAGCACCCTGAGAAAACCCACACCAACACTTGGGAGAACATACGAACTCCACACAGAAATGCCAACTGGCTCAGCCAGGACTCAAACCAGCAAGCTTCTTTCTGTGAGGCAACAGTGCCAACCACTGAGCCATCGTGCTACCCTACACACACACACACACACACACACACACACACACACACACACACACACACACATATAATTACACCTACAGATGGATAAGCAGCAGGCCGACATTCAGCCTACACCAATAGGAAACTTCAGCAAATCTTTACTTTCATTTTTGTTTTGGATTATTTTGATTTCTCAACAAGACTTTCAGAAATCCGATCTCCCCAGTAAAATCTCTCCAGAATCAAGCAGATCACTATAGTGCAAAGAAAAATAAATAAATAGAGTCTAATGAAAAAGCAATTTAAATAGTTGTATCTTTCGCATAAATCACATTTCTGGAAATGAAATAATCTGTTCTCACAGATCTTGGGTTTCGATCACCATTTAAACGAGTAAAACATGACTGTCTTAAACGATGAGAGTGCAGGTGCTCGGTTGCAATGTAAAATGAGACAGCGCACACAAATCTGAAACTTTTTTTTATCTGTAAGTAACAACAGATGGAATGCAGTCTGTGATGTTATTCTTTCTTCTGTGCACCGCATTTTGAAATTCATGCTCTATGAAAAGAATGAGAAGAAGCTTCTTGCTAAATCTTTTATTATCATATATGGTTCGTCCCTGCATTCATTTCTTATGAACAACATGAATCGGGCGCCAAATACAACTGACATTCATCTTCTTCATTTCTCGCATCTGTTTCTTTGGCTTCGCACCAGCACACAAGAAGCCTCCGACATACACCGCTGTGTTTGGGCCAAAGCCTCACAAAACAAGATGTCATAATATTCTCCACAGCGTTCAAAATACAGAGAGAGAAAGAGAGAGAGAGAGAGAGAGAGAGAGAGAGAGAGAGAGAGAGAGAGAGAGAGAGAGAAATTGGGGAATGGCAGCATGTGTGAGAGATGTTTCTCAGCATCCCAGCAGCTCTGAGAAACATTTAAGGGGACAGTTCACCCAAAAATTGTAATTTACTCACCCTCAAGTGGTTAGTATAACTTTATGAGTTTTTGACTTGCATAGGAAAACAAATCCTATGGAAGTCAATGGTTGCAGGGTTCTAACATTTTTCTACAATACATCTAAAGGGATAGTTCACCCAAAAATTAAAATTGACTCATTATTTGTTCACCCTCAGCTGATTATGTATTTTTGTTTCAAAATCATATTTTGAAGAAAGCTGTAACCATTGACTTATGTAGTAAAGAAAACAAATGCTATAGAATTCAATAGTTACAGGTTTCCAACAATTATCTGTCAAAAGTTTAAAGGGACAATTCACCCAAAAAATCTAATTTACTCATTTTTTATTCACCCCCAGGTGGTTATAAACCTTGTATTATGTTTTCCAAAATGAGCTTTTGAAGAAAGCTGTAACTATTGACTCATGTAGTAAGGAAAACAAATCCTATGGAAGTCATGGGTTACAGGTTTTCACTATTTTTCAAAATATTGTCTTTTGTGTTCAGAAACTTTGAAACAAGTAAAGACAGAATTTTCATTTTTGGGTCAACTATCACTTTAAGTATGAGTAAAAAAAACAAGATCAAATAAAACCAGAAGGAATGTTTTGGAGAATCGAGGTCAAAGGAAGGTCTTTCCACATAAACAATAAACAACTATTAAATTATCAGTCCTAGGTTTGGACATGCCCATTTTTCAATACCTGTTAAAAAGCATCCCAATATACTGTTCACAAAGCTGGTTAAATGGGTATCCATAACCTCAAATTGTTTTGCTCAATATAATTCCAATACACTTGTCTCATTTTATAGTCCTGCTGTCTTTAATACTTGAATGAGCAGACAAATTCATCATTTAGACTGGCATTATATGACTTAGCATCACTTGTGGGAGACCCTCAACAACATTTGGTCAATGTCTGTTTTCTCCAGATTTCTGGAAAATGCGGGGAAAGGAAACCAGTGCTGGATCAACAACACATTCATGAAGATCAACATTGCCAAAAACCAACATTTTCTGCGTCAGCAATTGGATTCAGACTGATACAGTTATTCCCACAACAAACCTAGAGCACAAAACAAACTACTGTATTTAATAACCAACACACTAAACATCAGTCAAGTTAGATCGTGCACAATATACACATAAAAGACAATTCCCTATCTCATATTACGATTCATATACAGGCTATGCAGTAGTCAACATTTGAAGTGGATTTTAAAAAAATGAAATTGTGATATGACAATAATTGGTGTTGTGCAACAGTTTTAGGACAACTTTGATAAAAGGAAGGGTTCTGATCCACTTCAAATGTGGACTACTGTAAAGTAAGGTGTTATCAGTAAGGCTTATACTGTAACACTTCTACTTCTATTCTAAAATGTTTCCTGCAATGACACTAATAAATATAGAAATATAAAGAAACATAACTAATAATAAGCCAGAATAAAAATAGTAAGGGGTCTGATCATTTTTAATGATAGCATTAAATAAAACATAAGTTTGATCAGCTCAAATATTGACAGACTTCAAATCAAACGATGTTATAACAAGGCATACGATTAACCTTTGAAGAAAATGAAAGCCCTTTCACATATATCATTTGTGCAGCTTGCATGGAAACAAATGATTTGTAAGTTACAAACAAAACCCACTTTCCGCAAAAAAAAAAAAGAAAAAAAAAAAAGAAAAACACTGAGTAGGCAGAAGACGCTTTGCAGGCGCGCGCTCTCCAGAAGTTCAAACGCGCTTGAACATCATCAGCAGCCGCGCGCCTCTCACTCACACACACTCAACAATCCTTGACATTCAGATTACACAACATGTTAAAAGAAGAGCCATACCTTTGAAAAGTAAAACCTAAAGCCTGATGCCTTTAAATCAAAATAAACGCCAGAGAAAGTGTTCTTTAGAACTACTACATTTAAATCCCCCCGAGTGCTGTCCGCCCGCTTTCCTTCCTTGCAAAAGTTTCTTACCTCTCGGAGATAACCGGTTAAGTGCAACAGAATCGCCACACTAGACGCGACCTGCAGCAGTGCCATGACAGCGAGCGTGCCGAAAATGAGCGCTCTGTGCGTGGAGCCCGTGTGTGGAGCGCGCGCCGGAGCCTCTTCCATATCGATATGATTCCGCAGGTAAGCGCGATAATCATTAGCTGCCATGAACGCCCGATCGCGGCACAGATCCTGTCTCTCAGTGGGAGGATTCAACAAATGATCAACGACTCATATAAACATGTGGGTGGGCAATGTAACTTGCTTCGAAGACAGCCAATCAGATAATAGACACGGATGATCTCGCTTTTTCAGGCTTCCTTTTTCTTCTTTCGTCTTCTTGCTCTCTGATTGCATGAGTTGAGTCAAAAGCAGGTTACTGGAGAAAGCTGACAACTGATAAGATTTCCATCTGAAAACTGCAGTAACTTTGAAAATCAAAGTAGCTATTATGGCATTAAGTTTCGTTTTCTACCCACTCGAACTGTGTACTGAGATTAAACTTATAGTTTCCTACATCAAGAAAGATCTACAAGTCATAATAATATACACCACTTATACTTTAAACCTCCAGTAATGCTTATGATAACTATTACTTTCTGAAGTTATGTAATGTTAGTTAATATACAGATTAGGCTCTGTCAGAACAGCAACAATTCTGGACATCATTCCTATTGGCAGTTCTGTACAAACACACGTTTTCTACAATCTACAAAGTACAAAAAATATAATAAAATGTTGAAATAACTAAATTATTTAAGTTAAACTAACATTATTTCTTGGGTTTCTTTAAAAACAAATAATGCAGTCAGTCTGGGTAAAAAAAATTTTTTTTTTAAAAACTTGAATGATTATGGAGCCAGATCAGTCTCAAAAATAATACATTTACAAAACACAATTCACACTTGCACAGCACAATTCATTTATTCATTCAGTTTCTTGTCGGCTTAGTCCCTTTATTAATCCGAGGTCGCCACAGCGGAATGAACCGCCAACTTATCAACTTACAAGTTTTCACGCAGCGGATGCCCTTCCCGCCGCAACCCATCTCTGGGAAACACACACACACACACAAACACACACACACACACACTACAGACAATTTAGCCTACCCAATTTACCTGTACCGCATGTCTTTGGACTGTGGGGAAAACCGAAGCACCCGGAGGAAACCCATATGAACGCAGGGAGAACATGCTAACTTCACACAGAAACGCCAACTGAGACGAGGCTCGAACCAGCGACCTGTGAGGTGACAGCACTACCTACTGCACCACTGCTTCGCCCACAGCACAATTCACATTTTCAAATTCCAATTCGTAAATTCAAAACATGATTCATAAACACAACGCACATTTTATGAACTTACAAGTAAATATACATTTTTTTGTTAAATGAATTGGATTTGAGTATTTAGGAATTGTTTTCTGAACTTACAAATTGGATTTGAGTATTTATGAATCGTGTTCTGAACTTATGAATTGAATTTGTGTATTTATGAATCGTATTCTGAACTTACGAACAGGATTTGTGTGTTTTATAAATTGTGTTCCAAACTTACGAATTGCATCTATGCAATTATGAATCGTATTTGAAACTCATGAATTGGATTTGTGTATTTATGAATCATTTTTTTTTTATTTTACGAATTGGATTTGTATATTATTTATGAATCCATTTCTGAACTACAAATTGGATTTGAATATTTATGAATCGTGTTTTGAACTTACAAATTGGATTTTGTAAATGTGAATTGTGTTGCCAATGCATGCATTATTTTGTAAAAGTATCATTTTTGAGACAGATCAGGCTCCATAAATGATTAGTTATTTATCTGATAAACATACAGAATGCCTAATGTTGACTGGACCAATATTAGCTAATATTATAAAGCATTAAAGGAATAGTTCACCTGAAAATTATTCACACACAAGTAAAAGTGGTTATAAACATTTATAGAAACAGGATATTATGAAGAATGTCCATTGTTGAAACAAAAACCGTGTGGGATGAGTAAATGATGACACAATTACAATTTTAGGGTGAACAATAATTATAAGTCAGCTTTATAATATTTTTAAAATTAGAGTTTAGGTCATCAAAATTAAAATAATTCAAGCAAACAAGATGCAGTACTAGTTACTAATAAATAAATAAAGTAGCTGTTTGACATTTTATAGTGTAGTGATTTACCTATAGTGTAGTGATTTACCTATAGTGTAGTGATTTACCTATAGTGTAGTGATTTACCTATTTAATTGCCTAAGTGTAAAATAAATGAGTGTCTCATAACATATAGAAAAAACAAGCACTTTTGGTATGACACGATATATTCAGAATTTAGTGTTTATATTATTTAGTATTCTAAAGAAAGCTAAATTTCTAAATAACTCCCACTTTTCAAATCAGCATCCATAATTTTCTTCAAGAGAGTCAATGAGTCACAAGTGTTTATCTGAACATATAAACACACTGAAATTCCTCTTGTTATTGCCAGGCTGAGGCAAAGTTAAAAAAAACAAAAAAAAAACAGAGCTTTGTACATGATGATCCTCAAATAATTGCAAAAAAAAAAAAAAATGAAGAAAAACCTGTTTTTAAAGAATTATTTCAGGCAGCTGCCGCCAAAATGCAAGTTTGCAAAAGAGAATTGACGAATGTCAACAGAGTTCATGCGCTTGGCTTTCCCTCATTCATTCAGCCTCCAGTGCTGAAAGCTTGTAATGCTCCACCATTATATCAGCCTTTTTTTTAAGAACCACAATTATTACTCTGGTTGCAAATATCACCACGCTGGAGTTTGTGTGACTTCAGCGTAACTAGTGTCTTGTTGCATTGTTTTGGCAACATGCATTCCTGCGGAGCATGATCAGGTCACCTGCATTTCCCTTTAGAAATTAGGATAAGGCCAGACAAGCTCCAGCACACTCCATAACCTTATGAACTTGGCTGCCCTCGCAGGGACCGCCATCCCGCAGCACGCCACGTTCACTCGAGAGTCATTAATATACCGTGAGAACCCTTGTTTTGCTGTGGGTTTCTCGTGCCTTCAGCTATTTTCCACAGAATGCAGGCGCTGCGGCAGGAAGGTTTGGGTGGTATTTATACCCTTTTGTTTTGCCATGTGAGCTGTTCTTGCCCAAGCCAGAAGGTAGTTGAATACTCCGAACCCAGCAGTCCATCAGAGTATGACAGAGGGCCAAAACCAGGCAGTGTTGAGAGCAAAGCAGCCGAAACCACTAGCAGGCACTTTCCTCAGTGCTGAGCAGGCCCCGGGAGCGTATTATTAGCTCTCCTGTAAGCGTGGTACTGTATACACACACACACACACACACACACACACAGGATGAGCAAGAGCACCAACGCCAGAATCCTTCCCATGTTTCGCAGACTGTGGAGTCACCGTGAGGATGTTTTTTTCTGGCTGCAGACTCCATGTGGCTACGCTCAAGTGTTTCAGGCTCACCGCTTTCTTTGCATAAGCTTCACAATATTTCAGCACTAAAGGAGAGGCAGGAAGTTCGATCTGAAATATTAGTATCACCGCAGAGCCTCCAGTTTGAATCCCATGGCACTTTTCATTGTCCTACTACATATTCATCGTCCTTACAGTGCAGAACCGAGCGCTGCGGTCGATGCTCGTATTAATCTCTGATCAAGCTGCATACGCGCAGAATTAAGAAGTCGCCACGTTCCAGACTGCAAAAACGGGACATGAAAGAGTGCAGTGTTGTCCTTTTCCTTCTCTGCCACATCCTGTGTGGTAAGTCATCCCGGAGCACACAAAGCACACCCGCCTCTTCCTCCTCTGTCCTACCTCACTCTCGCTTTTACATTTCATAACAGAAGGGGTCTTGAGAAGGGCACCTAGGAAGCTCTGGTGCTGCTTTTTATACTAGCTCTAATGAAGATTATTGCATAAGAACTTACATGGTACAAGCTGGCCTGCCCACATGGACCTTCTGGATGCATACTTGACACATGGCACACCCATTCTGATTGGCCGGCTCTAAAATATTACTGATGGGAAGTTCGGATCATTTTACTGACTCAGATCTTTGAGTCTCGTTCATCGAGATGAACAAATCTTTTTTGAGTCATTTGGTTCAATTTGCCAAAATGTTATTAAAATGTTACGAATTGCTTCCAAACACATCTACAACTAGCCCAAAAGGTTGATCACATGACAAATAAGTCATAAATAAAATACTATAAGAAGGAGAAAATAATAATTCAATGTTTACCTGCTCTTTTGTCTATGAAGGTATTTTTGTTTCTTTGCTCAGCTCACCTCTTCATGTCTTCAAATGTCAGGGGTTCATACACTGTTGTTAGTTACACTGACATTCACATATGATCTTAACCAATTACACAGTCTGAGCCGATAGGAGCCATGATAATTAGTTCACCTTTCAATTTAATTCTTTTTCCGGCTCTAAACACATATGATTGGCCCATGAGGAACAAATGACTTAGACCCGATAGAGGACTCGAGAGATAAACGGATCAATTCTTTTTCCAGCTCTAAACACATATGATTGGCCCGTGAGGAACGAATGACTCAGACCCGATAGAGGACTCAAGAGGTGAACGGATCAATTCTTTTTCTGGCTTTAAACACATAGGAATGGCCCGTAATGAACGAATGACTCAGACCCAATAGAGGACTCGAGAAGTGAACGGATCAATTCTTTTTCCGGCTCTAAACGCATATGATTGGCTTCTGCCTTTCCGCGATGAACAGCTCAAAAGACTTGAAATTAACGATACCCCCTGCACAAATGTGCGCACGCGCGGATGAACGAATCACTCTCTGAGAGGACTCAGTAGTTCTGACTCACTAGGACTGAGTAGTTCCCGAGTCACATTGAAGATTCGTTCAAAATGAACGAATCGTTCATGAACGACCCATCACTAGAAAATATGTGGAACTACAATATGAAATTAAAGCTGCAAGCAGTGATGAAAGGGACCTCGCACCCGGGCTCACTGCCACCCGTTGGCTTAGGATAACAGAGAACAGTAAACAATAATAATTTAAGTCAATACATATTTTTAAAAAAAATCTGTAATCACCAATTTATGCCAAACTTCCTTCTGTCAGCAGGTGGCCCTATGACTATGACTCAATACTGGCATGTAGATGCCTTCAGGAGAGGCATCTTATCGAACATGAATTTTCTTGCGTCCTCATGTTCTCATGTAACATCATCAGCAGCTGCCAAAGTTCAGTTTCAATACTCAAGAGCGCAAGAACAGAGGACGCTTGAAACTTCATGGATATGTTCTTGATATCGGGGACGCACCAATGTAGATTTGAGCCCCAACTTGCTCTAGAAGTCCCAGAAGTCATTGCGACTGGAGGTGGGAAGCACGGCATTTTATTTAGATTTATTATTAAAGTTCGGGGATATAACTGATTTATCTCAGGAGTTTCCCTAAATGAAACAGTGAATATAAACATTACAATAAACATCGTAATAAAGGAATAAACACATTAAGGGTGTTTATTTGCTGAAATTCATACTAAAATTGTTTTATTTATATTGTGCAACGCCCATTTATAATGTTTTTATGCATAGTATATATTTTGAAAAGGGAAAAAACA